TATATATATATATATGTCAAGTTGCAGGGTGACACATTGACACATATTAATTCTAGTTATGTAGCTTATATTGGACAAACCTACTGCTAGTTAGATTCAGAAGCAAACAGTAAATGTGCAACATTAAACGTGATTCACATTATTCTTGCAAATATTTCTGTTGGCCAGCTAGCAAGCAAGAAAACCTCCACATGCAATCACATTTACATCAGTTAAAAGCTAAACTTTACACTAAAGATAAACTTTACGCTTAAACTCATAAACTGTGTGTTTCTGTGTATAGCTATAAATATTCACTGAGCATACAGGAATTACAGCTCATTTAGCTTACTGCTGGCTTCTTCTTTTAGCTAGCTTAGTTTTTCAAAAACAACTTTAGTCAAAGTCGCATCATTTATTTCTTTAGTCCACTTTATGTTCACACCAAATTAAAACAACTTACCAGACGTAAAGAAAAGGGAAAAAAGGATGACAGCTAGCTAGGTTAGTTAGCTAGCTAGCCAAACCTCGAATTAGCATCATGAAAGACGGGTAGGAACAATAACACCGCTGCACCGTCCTGCGTTTCCGGTTCTACTTCTAAATGGTGCCGACTTTGTTTTTATTCCCTTCCTCAAAAATATTGCTACCTCAGAAAAATGTCTAATGCCTTGTAACTCAACACACTGATAAATGTAACTAAAAACAAGAACAACACGCACAAACAAGTACAAAACTATTAATACATTTATTCTGTAAACCAACAGTCATAATAGAAATAAGGCACATTGTGGGAATGCAAACTGAGGAGAATGGAGTCTGTACATCTTCAAAAAACAAAACAAAACATTTAAAAATAATTATATATTAGCTCCCAAACACACAGTACATCCTCTATATTTATATATTACACCAGCCTCTTAATGAGTATGAGTTTACTGGGTCCATCAACCATTTTTTCCTCAGAATCCAGTGGTTTTAATGATTTCCACTCATTCTTAATCCAGGATATATACAGTGTGTGTATTTCTATATTTGAATTGTAGTATCTTTTTAAGCCATTTGCCAGTTCAATCTACGGTAGCTATGCATTATACAAGCGTTTTCTTGTTTCTTGTTCAAAATCGTTACTGATGTAAATATCAAAGAAGTCCATCACCATTAAATCATCATATGCCTTTTACCACAAGATCACCTTCAGAGACCAGGACCTGTTTGATTTGCAATCTAAACCCATTAAACATATCACAAGTTAAACCATTAGGAGACTTCACAAAACTGCAATTGTTTCTATGACATTTTTCTTCACCAGTGAAAATTAATACCAAAATTACTAAACTAAAATTAACTAACTAAAATTAGTAAGGTTTTTTAGTAAGATAAAGATGGAAATGAACATAAATGCACATAATACAGGAATTTACCCTTCTGTTACTTTTCACATAATCTACACATTGCATATTACATTGTACATTTTAAGAAATGTAATCAGCACTAATTATAACATAGACCCTGAAAACATAACTCATTTGAAAAAAATACAGTGCTATATAAAACATTTATCATCTTATCATTCAATAAGAAAAAAAAACCCCAAAAAACAAATAGCATTCATATATACAAATAAAACAACCAGATTAAGCGAGCAGATTAAAAACTCCTTGGGGAGCAGGTGGGATTGGTCTGAAATGTGTCTGTGGAAGTGGGCGAGATTGGTCAGAATTCCTCCAGGAGCGGGCAGAGTGGGATTTAAAAAAAAATACCAGTCTCACACACACCTCAAATGTGCATTTTATACCCCACTCTCCTCTCGGATCCAGCTGCGGTACTTGGTGACCCGTGTGTAAATGCCAGGCTTTCCCTTTCGGCCACAGCCTTCACCCCAGCTCACGACCCCGACTAGAAACAAGCGGCCGGTTGCTGGGTCTTCAAAGGACATGGGCCCGCCTGAGTCACCCTGAGGATGGAGAGAGGAATACTTTTATAATAAGAGCAGATTTAATGAACCTAGAAAAAGCAGTAAGAGAGAAAGCAGTTGCTTTATCTACCTGACAGGCATCCACTCCTCCTGTCAGAATTCCTGCACAGATCATCTGTGGTGTGATCTCATCTTCTATCAGCTGACTACACACGGTTTCGTTGATGATACGCACCTCTGCTTCCTGCAGCACTGTCGCTAAACCTGAGCCAAGAACAAACACAAAGTACAAAATTTATTTGAAGCACAATCCCCCTAAACATAAACTTAATTTTCCCTTTAAAGTATAAATGCAACAGCCGTTCTTGTGTGCATTAAATGGAGCTAACATGGGAAGTTACTTAAGTTTGTACAGTGAGCAAATACAGCTGTGGAGAGCAATACTGTAGTAAATAGAGTTGAGTGCGAAACTTAAGAAGACAAATACATTTAACTGATGAGATATTTAGTGTGTTAGGTTTCGCAACTATAACAATAATGGTCAAATAGTGTAAAGATCTTAATAGTATAAAAAATGATATCAGTTCAAAAGTTTGCATGTTCCTTTTTGAATATGATGCCCAACTTTTGCCTTTATAATTGCCTCCAACCTTATTAGTATCCTCTATTTTTGGGGATCCAAAGAAGCTTTTGGATCCTTTCTATTCCTTCATTACCTCGCTCATTCTTCCTGACAAACCTGTTTTACACTCCCTTTTTCGTATCAGTTCTGGAGAGGGAGAGGCTCAGTTGTTTTTTCCAAACTATTTTGGGGTTTATTTTGCCTTAATTATGGGACTGTTTCCTTGTTGTATGTTTACAAGGAACAGGATTATCAGAATTATCTTGTTGCAAGACAACCGCAGGACAATCCTGATCAGGATCGGGGTGAATCCAGAGTTTTTCATGTTTCCTCTGGGTTTTCAGTTTCCTCCCACCTTCCAAAATAATGCAGGTAGGTGGATTGGTGACTCTAAATTGCCCATCAGTGTGAATGTGTGTCCATTGTGCCTTGTGATGTACTGGCGTCCCTTCCAGGGTGTATTCTCACTTCACATCCAGTATCCCCGGGATTCACTGCAACCCTGACCAGGATAAAGTGGTTACTGAAGATAAATTAATGAATGAGATTTGGTCCTTCAACTTTTTACTCATGTGTTTGTTCACACAGTTTATTGGTTAATGTGATCATCATTGTTAAGGGTTTAAAGTAGGGATTCCCAAACTCGAGTTTGCGACCCTTCACAATTCATTTCTTTTACAAATTATTATTAGAAACATCACTCTAACTACAAAGCTGGATTTTGTGTGTTAATATTTTAAATGAAGAGTTTTGTACTATTTATTGAGTACTAACACTAGCCGGCTTTCCTATTACAGTTAGTGTTTTTTGTGAATTTTATTAACCTCTCATGTAGCCTTCAAACCTACATACTGAAAGGTCTGTTTTACATACCTATCTTCTGTATTTTCTACATTAGTAAATACTTTTGAATGTAAGGTCAGAGTTTTCGATTTGAGACATAGCTCATGGCAACAATCATGACGACAGCACTAAGTTTTAAGAGAGACAGAGCTTGTCAGTGTGTTTAACTCTCTTGTTTAAATCTCTATGCATGATATCGCTAAATATTTTACAATTGGAAACCTGATTGACAGCAATGTTTTGACTATGACGTGCCATCGAGTGATTGCCACATTTAATCCTCCAGATGTAGGTCAGTGAGTGCACAACACCGGTTGCGCAGCCGCTGCTTCTGCACATGCACGCAAAGTCATGTGTCACGTATAAACAGGCTCCTTTACCTTTTACTACTCCTTTTATACACCACCCTGGCCTGGGTTATTTTCCTATAACAACATGCCCTGTCACGTTTTATTTCTTATGTATCATTCAAAGCTGGAATTGACAGCAGACAGAGATGCACCTTTTCAAACACACCTCTTGACTTTTTGAAAAGGTGTGTTAAGAAATGCAAGTTCACTATTCCCACTAGACTGGTAGATCAGTGTGAGGAATGTTCCTTTGGTTTTTAGTCAATTATGTTGCACAAATGTTACTGATAATAAAATGTTCAAATGTACAGTAGTTTTAAATTATATATCTGGAATTAAGTGTAGGGTGGTCAAGGCTTGGGGTCACAGAAAATGCATAATGTCCATTTGAGGTAATTTCACCCAAAATGTTCCTTAGTTTAATAAGAACTAAGACTCTAAGAATCTGTTCGCTCCATTGCGTGCATACCTTCCTTCACCTTATTAGTTTTCATAGACAAAAAAAATATTCTTTCCCTTGATGTATTCATACTTACTTCCCTCCTCTCTGATTTTGCCCCAACCTGTGATCCACACAGACTGGCCTGCTGGTAACATGTATGTGGCTGCAGGTAGGCAGATAGGCCAAATATACTGGGTGAGGGTCACAGGGCTGTCTAGCTCCATCAGAGCAATGTCATTATCATAGCTCAGGGGGTTGTACTCAGGATGACAGATGATCTGCTTCACTTGCTTCAGCACTGTGTTGGCCGTGTTAACCTGATTCTGAGTGTGCAGCCCCAGGTAGACGTCCCACTCTTCTGGCCCAGAATATCTGCTCAGATGTACAGACATACAATAATGTTTGTTAGATGTTAGCATTTACATAGTAATAGCTTATATACAGCGACTTGTATGGTAGATGCTCCACAAAACCAAATTTAAAAAATATGTGTAATTTTTGATATTGTGAGGAAATGTTTATTTGTAAATGTTTATTTAGCATTTTTGTAAGGAGTCTCCAGTGTCAGCACTTTAGTCAGAGGTAAAGCTTTAACCATGTTTCCCTGCATGAGAAAGTCATTAGTACAGAGGAATATCAAGCTGCATTTTTTTGTCTTGTTAACTTCAAGAGAGAGAAAAAAGAGACACTGGTGAGAGACTGTTCATAGTGTCTATAATGTAAGTCATAACATTAAAAAAACATACATTTATGGCATTTGGCAGACATCCTTATCCAGAGCAAATTATATTTATCTCATTTATACAACTGAGCAGTTGAGAATTAAGGGCCCAGGGGTGGCAGCTTGGCAGTGCTGAGATTTGAAGTCATGACTTTCTCATCAGAAGTTCAATGTCTTAACCACTGAGCTACCACTGCTTTTTTTTGCAGACATTCCACAACATTAAACACAACTATAACTGGATCAAAAAAATTATGCCATGTCACCTTTAACAAATAAAAATTGTTAGCGTTGGCAGATTGCTGTGTGTAAGAGGAATAAAACACAAGGCATGCTGTTATTTGAAAATACAATAACTCCACTCAAGCTGCTTCACACCACCCTGTTCTTGATTATTTTCCTATAATATATCTTATCTATATATAATTTTCCTATAATATATATATCTATATAATAATTCCTCCATATCTCTATTCCTTACTTATTTAATTCTATTATTTATAATCATTTCTGCAACCCATTCTGATTTCTTCTTATTTTTTGTTAATATTTCAAAGCTCCTCTAAAAACAGGACTAATCTCAGTAGGGCTTTGCCGCTTAACAACAAATAAACGAAATAAAATACAATTGAATCAGCAAAAATAAAAAGCAAGATGAAGTATACGTACCTGTTAGTCTCTTGTATACAGTGTGCAGCAGTGACTAGCCAGAGGTTGCTGATTAGGGTGGCTCCACACACATGAGCCTTGCCCTTTAAGTGAAGGCTAACCTGCCAGGGCCAATAGCCTTCCTTGGCCTCCTCACCACCCACAATCCGAGAGGACTGGTATGGCCTCGTACCACATTCTGCAGAAAAATCAGCACAATCACATAACTATTCAGGGCACATGGTGAGGTACTACTTGACATGAACACAGCAGTATCCACAGATGGGCAAGATTTCTGATATTTTGTTTTGTGTTCCGTTGAATTCTTGATTCTGATTGATTAATTTTCTGCTGCTGATTTATTTTCTATAACAGCAGCTCTGACAGTAGTGCTTTCTGTGAGGTTATGTTCATTTACAATTTATAGAAGGAGTCTCCAGTGTCAGTGCTTTGTAACAGTCAGCAAACTGGTGGACAGATGACTTTGTGTTTTCCAGTTTCTCTGTAACATGACAAGCTGTGTTTTTCTGCCTTAGTATCTTCAATAGCGAGAAAAAGAAAGACTGGTGAGGGAATGGCCGTTTAAAGCTGCTATAATATAATTTATAACAGGAACTAACTTGTTCTGTGGACATTCCACTAAAGTAAATGTAACTATAAATGGATAAAAAGTATGTGTCCTTTTCTCTACAGCTATGCAATACCTGATATATACCAAAGGGAGGGAAAGGAGACTCCTTTCTATCCAGCATGTTGCTAAAACCAGTTAAATAATCAATAATGTCAATTGTTATGCATGTTACATTTCTCTATCTAGCAAGCTGGATGCTAGCTAGCTAGCACAGTTGCTATGATAAAGATAGTATGTGAAGCTCTCGGTAACATACAGGAGAAAAATATAACATCTGATTAACATTATTTATACAGAAGTACTTTTTATATAAAATAGATATTATGAATGATTGTGCCTATAATTTAATACAGACCACCGGTGTGCTTTCTGAACAATACCTAGTGTTAGCATCAATGTGTAAGCATAGCCAATATATCTTTTGGCTGTGGCTTTTGGGAAGTGGGAGGGAAACCAGAGAACATAGAGAAAGCCCATGCAGACACAGCGAGAACATGCATTGACATTAACCAGAGGTCAAGATCAAACCGGAGACCCCGAAGCTGTTTAGTCCAGTACAGTATTTTTCAGGGCATTTGTTGCATTAACAACAATTTTTAACAATAATTTGGGGCATTTTACAACCCCTGGCAAAAATTATGGAATCACCACACTTAGAGGATATTCATCCAGCTTTTTTACTTTAAAGCAAACAAACAAATCACAGATATGACACAAAAAAGGTTTTGTTCAATAGCTTAACATTCTGGCTTTGTGAAACACACATAAAAAAAATTCACTGACATTTTTTTTATTAATGGCATGTCATTTTCCAAATCAAGTAGAGGAAAAAAGTATGGAATCACTCAATGTTAAGGAAAAAATTATGGAATCATTAACAAAAAAACACAATTAGTACTTTGTTGATCCTCCTCTGGCTTTTATGACAGCCTGAATTCTTTGAGGCATAGACTTCACTAATGAAAA